AATAATTCAACTTTTTATTTAACACACCGAACATTTTACATTACTAATGAGCGGTCTGGAGAAACCGAATACTGTTTGAGTGTTGGAAGTCGCCTGAAACCGAAAGAACTGGGATCGAAAGGGCAAACTTCCAAAAAAGTTAAATTGTTTACCGTCCTTGGAGACTCTGCTCAACTTTTAATAGTGTCCCGCTTTTTGCAGCACACAATAAAATTTATAACCTTTCTTAGAAAAAAAATGACTAAACTAGAGGAACTTCGAAGACAGGAACGTAATTGGAATCGCTAATAATTACTTGTGTTGCATGATGCATCCAATTGCTTTTTCCGGCTTTAGTAAAGTCCAAATTTGTTCTATTAACTGCAGACGAGCTTAAGCTTAAAGCTTAAAGCTTAACGCTGTATTATGTATGTACGAAAGTTATTTACAGATATAAGCAGAGCTGACTTAAAGTTGGGCAAGTTGAGGTCTACATGATTCAATCCGACATGTTCATTAGATCTGTTATTGCCCAGCAAATATTTTGTATGCGATCCACACCTAGAATGCATTTGCTAAAACTTCACGCAAAGACCATATATTTTAATAAAATTAACAAAAATGGCAGAAATGCATTAAAATTAAGTGCATAAGTTCAACAGTGTGCAAATTATAACGTATCACTTGTTTGTACTTAATTCCCTAGTTCAAACTACACGGTCCTGCTGAAACTCGTCGCAGTATAAATGAATGTGTTAGGAAAAGTTTGCAACATTTTTGGGAGTTGAAAGACGCGATGGAGACATCATAAAGTGTGTAAAATATCGCGCGGTGGGAGTTAAACGAACTGGAGAAGTTTAAAAATTTTATAAGAATCGGGTATCTTGTCGGGATTTATGGATTTTTTAGTATTTCGGTGGGATGAACACCAAACGACACTATAAAATATAATAATGGCTGGCATAAGTTTTTTTCTCTGGGCTTTGCTCTTGAATTTTAAACAGGTATAGCCGGCAGGTGAATTTCTTATTAAATAATTATTATGGAAGTCAGATTCACCATAAAATGCAACGAAAAATGATAGCATTACTAACTAAAATTACAACAAAGAAAACATTAGCTGACAACTAAATTCAATCAAGGGTAAGAAACAATTAAAAGCCGCGACGAACGAAATAATTCTATAAAAATAAAGGCAAAAATGTTTGAAAACACTGTCTGTTGGTTCAAGATGTTATTATTGTCAGCAACCAGCTAAATGTAGGAAAAGTTTGAGTGTGTAAAATCGAATATGTGAAGTCTTTTGCAATATTGCTTTATATGATTTTCCTCATTACTTTTTAGTACCTCTTTCCTACCTCAATTCAACTGACTGCAGTTTATTCGTTAGACTGAATTGCCCATTAATTTATTGATTTGTCAGATACTTGGAGTTTTAAAGCAACTAATCATTTCGGTCAGGCGCAATCAACGGCATAATTAAAGCTATAAAAAACATAATTAGATAAAAAGCATACTTTTGCCCCAAGGACGCGACAATGAAAATAAAGTGACTTTTAATTAAGCGTCATTTTGCGTAACGTGCCGGAGTTATTTTGTGGTTTAATAGGTATTAATCGTAGACTGATTTTTCAAAACAATAAAATCACTTAAAAGGAGTCGCCCTGTTTTGTTAAAAAAATTGAAGCAATATTTAAATTTTATTGAAATAAATATAGCGTGCCTGATTGTTCCTCGATTTAAGACTTATTTATATTTTAACAAATTTTATGACATTTTTTTCTCAATTCATTTTTATATAATTCTTATATCTGCAGTTGTCTTGTAGTTGCTTTCCTGCTCTAAAAAAACATCAACTTCTCTCTACATTGTCGTGGCAACAGATGAAGCAATATATGAAATATTATTTACCATAAAATAAGAAGCTGAAAAGTCAATATTCTGCCCGCATTGAATAGCAAATGGGTACAAAAGCTCATAAAACATTTTCGAATTATCGAAATTGAATTATCCCTTGTTTCTAAATTGCTTTCAAATTAATTGATCGTTATTCAAATATATAGCTAATATAAAATGATAATGTATTTGTCAATATATATCATTGCTTATTCCTGAAATATGCATTTTAACTATTTAAAAAATGTCACTGTTTATTTGGCATGGAATTAATAAGTTTTCCAGTGAATATGTTCATTATGTATGCAAGTAGAATTAATGTTCAATTCTCTGCAGATTTTATTGTCGACCCGGCATAAATAAAATTTATTTCAGGGCACTTTACAATGAGGCAATAAGCCCGATGTGAAAATCAATACAATTGTTATTAATTTTGCCATTTTCCAGCGCTGATGTCAAGGAGATTTATTAAAAGTTCTCAAATGTCTTGAAAAATAAATAGTTTTCTTTTGAAAGATCAAAATACACTTAAATTAGGTAATTTGTGTTTCGATCAATCGCTTTGTAATTTAACTGTTTTTTTAACGATTTTACATATTTAGATTTAAGTAATTTAATTAATTTTTAAATTAAATTGTATAAATCATTTTAATCTAGGCATTTGCAACTCAGTTAATTTTTTTAACCGGTGAAGTTGCGTTGCAGCCACCCATTCGATAAAATGTTGCTCCTAAAATTGTGATAACTTTTTTTAGGGGTGCGTTTAGTAAAGAAGAGAAGATAATTTTGTCGCCAAAATTCCATCGAATTTTGCGCGCTTCGAAAATGTTCATTTGAAAATGAACGATTTTATCCCACATTTCCATAACTGAATCGGTTTTAGCGAAAAGCTTCAGATGAGCTTAATATAAAACGACAAAGAGGCCCAAAATAATCGCAAAGTTTAAAAATTAATTACGAAAGAACCAATAGCTCAATCGATACCAAATCCACCTTACGAGCCAGTTTGATGAATCTGGGACTAAAAGTTCTACATGTACATGGCAACCAGGGGCAAAGTAATGCTAAACTTACTGCATAGTGCCACCTGAAAAAAAGGAAGAAAATGTGTATAGTAAGCAGGAAATCTGTCCAAAACCAAACTTATTTGAAATCAGCAAAGTAATAAGAGAGCAATTTAAAGAATCCATCCACTTCAGTTGCTTGTCGCAAAACTAACCTCAAAATATTTATAGGTTAGAGATCATTCTTGCCAGCTTTTTGTAAATTGGCGCCCCATCCTCCATTTTCTACCCAATTTCCTCAATAAGTTCACTACACTTACAAATTACCGCACTTGCCATAAGGGTCACAATGATTCTATATTTCGCATCCAAGAATGCGATTATTGACTTTGATTGATTGATTGATGCTTTACTTGCTAGTTCGACTTAAGTTTGATTATTGTTAACATTTTTGTAGAAAGTTCCTGTTCGCAAGRCAATATTTCCAATCGCAAATTACACGATCCAACTTRACGAAAGTCAACAACAACTAAACGAAAAACGCTCCGTTTGTCGTTTAGTTGTTGTTGTCTTTAGTTGTTGTGAAAATTGTCGATCTTTCACACTAATTCATTTCATCAAGRTCAAGAAATCACTTAAAAATKAAATTG